GTAGTACAAATTCCAAATACAGCTAAGGCCCCTCCCTTCTCCATTCTTCCTCTCTCTCCTTCCCCGGAAGTTCACAGGTATTTCAGAAACATAATGTGGAATACAAAAAGATATCTATAGTTCATTAACATCTGTGTACATTTAAAGAACACATAGGACATTATTATTTGTTTGTTTGATTAAACACATTTTAATAAGACCATAACACATAAAAAAGAAGTAACCAATTCATGAGGATATATTTTATCACAAGCAATAAATAGCTTGCAGCAAAAGTCAAAATATAGCCACTCAATGACATCTAAATATGTAAAGTATTACTCAGTAGTAATCTGTCTTGATATACTCGAATAGTAAGAATACTTTTAGTACTATAGCTGTAACCATTTCCCTGTTTCATCAGTTATATATCTCCTTTGGAATATAAACCTAGAGCCTTATAGATGTGAAATATGCCACATAATAAAATGCTTTCCTTGGTTGGACTAAGCTAGTGAATAAAGTAATAAAATGCCATGGCTTGTAGTCCCAGCTGATTTACTTCAGTAGAAATGACCTCATAAAGTTCTCACCCAGTTGTATAAGCTAAGTTTCCTTTCTATTGCACTTTAAATGGTTTATAGGAGATGTTGGGGTCAGGGGAAATAGAAACAGCAGAAATATGTAATATACCAGGGTTAGTTCTTAAAATAATTTGTCAACATGTATGTAATTAATAAACTTAAAGATAATATCAACTATTTTAGCAAATCTTAATTTTCTATACAAGCATGCCTGAATGTAGGACCCCCAATAAACTCTCCTCTCTCCTTCTTAGCATTGGATTACATTATTTTTGTTTTATTTTGTTCTCTATTTCATGTGTTTGCTTTTACTTCTGCATACCAAGAATGCCTAACACAAGGCTAGGAAATTGTAGGTGTGATAAATAATTATACTTTGCATGATTTTAAATATTTTTGAAATAAAAAATCAATTTGTCTTTTAGCATAGGATTCTGTAAACAGGAAACAGAAAGCATGTGGTCCTTTAAGAGAGTGAATCGACTATTCCCTCCACCTGCTCCATAATTCTAGTTAACAGCACCAAGGACTCATATCCCATTACCTTCTTGTCACAGAAAGCCCAGAAATGTTTTTGTACAGGTTGTGAAGAAAGAAAAATTGTAGAGTGAATCTAAGAAAATTTAAATGTAACAGGAGAAGGAGGGGGAGGAGGTTGCGGGGGCAGCAGCTGCAGCCCACATTCTGTTTCTTCTTCATCTTTCAGATCGTGCCTAAATAAGAAAGGCGCTCTACCAAGCCACACACCTGTAAACAACTCCTCCCTTAACCACACAAAGAAAATCTGGACAAGTTTTTAGGAAGGTTTAGTGGAGTGTGCTGCTACTAATAAGTTATACTAATAAGCTGTGGCCACTTATACATACCCAGGGCAGTAGAGATCTGGATATAGGGTGAGCTCTATGCAGAGCTGAAGTTGAAAACTTACAGTTTACCTCTGAACTGTCACTCTCCTTCCCAAATAAATACATACACACCCAGGACTCTTATTTTCTTCAGAAACAGCCTCCATACAATAGATTCCAACTGCTTCCCTCTCGTTCATGTCTCCTCCCCCAACCAACTTCCATTATAAATTATCTTTAGGGAACTGCTCTTAGCTTACATTTCCAGGAAAAGACATAATAAGCACATTTTTGTGGAAAGGTTAACAACTAGTTGAAGTTTAATTTTTTTATCCCTCCCCAGTATCATTAGCTCCAAGCCATGCAATATTCATGGTGGACTTTCACACACCAGCGATACACCGATGTGAAGGAAATGTTGGTACCTCACAATCTCACTAAAGGATTCCTGCTCATTCTCAGCCGGTAAATAATCCTCTCTGGTTCTCTGGGGTGGCAAATTGTTTTTGTAAGAAAAACAACAGTGGCAGACAGAATTTTAAAAAAGGTAAAAATGTACATACAAAATGATACATTTAGAAATATGTCCAGGCATAGGAAATGCATAATATTATCCTTGCTCTAAACACAGAGTCTCTGCCAGAGAATAAAGTGGAGTTGATTCATTGTATGTGCTTGGCCTTTGCACCTAGCAAGAGCCCTCACTCACTTGAATTTGTGTTCAGGTGTTGAGAGGCACCTGAACTAAAGAGGATGCTCTCTTAAAATGGAAGTCAAAACAGACATTTGCCCCATAAACAAGTGGTTTTTTTTAACCCTTCTATTTTTGCCAACTGAGCCCTTTAGAATAAAAATGCGTATGATCTCCTTAAGACAGCTGCCATGCTGTGTAGAGACCAGAGCTGCAGTAAGTTAGTGGGGAATGGGGGGGAAAGGAGAGGCAACCAAGTATTATTTTTAAGCTAAGCCTTGGAAAACTCTAACCTGACCAGAAAGACAGCAAGACCAGCAACATAATTTGTGGGGACCCAGTATGAAATAAGAGTGCCAGAGCCCCTTTTTCAAAAATTGAGAATTCAAGACAGGAAGAGCAGAACAATAAAGCAAGTGTGGGGCCCTTCTATAAAGGTTCAGAATCGAAAAGGAGTGAAGGGCAGGGGAAAAAAAAAAAAGCCCAGTGTCAGGGAAGAACTCCAAACTCACAGAGCATGGCAAAAAGTAACAAGATTCCGAAAGAGATGACTAAGCACACAGCAGGTTGGCTTGCCATCACTTTGCAGTTGCCAGAGTAGACAGTGAGATAGTGGATCAGAGCAAGACAGTTTGTACCTCACAGCACAGCCGACAAGCAGGAATATCAGCACGGTAGCACTGTTTCCCTGGTCCTCGGGTCCCAGAGGGATGCAAAGTCCTAGATTGCAACTACACTTTCAACGGGTTGCACCATAGTTGAACTCAGAGCTAACGGCCCCACAACTTTCACAGCAAGTAAACAAGCAGGTCCCCCTGCTCAGGGAGAGAGCTGTCATAAGATAGTCCTGGCATTGGGATTGCCTTAGTTGCCTACTTAACTAGCTACAGAAATGGCTAAGGATTAAAGCACATTTGACCTTATCTTTTAGCATGTTCAGCAAGGATGTGCCCTAGGCTCCTTGGAGGACTGCCTCTCCCAACACACAGCAAGGGAGCAGCATGTGTCCTGGAAACAAGGTCTCTGTTGTGGGTTGAATTGTGTCTCCAAAAAAAGGTATGCAAAAATCCAACCCTTCAGTTCCTGTGAATGTGACTTTATTTGAAAATAGGGTCTTTGCAGATGTAATGAAATTAAGATGAGGTCATGCTGAATCAGGATAAATCCTAACTTAATGACTTGTCTGAAGAGGGAAACTTGGACACAGATACAGATGCACACCACATGATGATAAAAGCAGAGATTGGAATGAGGCTTCTACAAACCAACACATACCAAAGATTGCCAGCAAGTGCCAAAGCTAGGAAAAAAACAAAGAACAGATCCTCCCTGTATTAGTCGGCTTGGGCTGCCCTAGCAAAATACCACAGGCTGGATAGCTCAAACAACAGAAATTCCTATTGGAATTTGCCTTGCTGGGCTGCCAACTTGCTTTAGGCCAATAGACCACATACTCCTTCCTTTTGTTATTATTTTTTCTATCCTATACCTGTCCCGCTATGTTATTTTGGAAATAAATAACATGTTTCCTAGGTTCCACAGGTCCAAAGATGCGGAAGAATTTTGCCCCAGTATGGACCACACTTCAATCTCCTCTTAATCTGATTTAGATTAATTGAAAGATGAGATTTGGGACTTTGAGTTAATACTGGAATGAGATAATATTTGGAGAGATATTGAAATGGGTGAATGTATTTTTCATGTCAAAAGAACATGAATTGGGTCCAGCTGGTGTGGCTCAATAGTTGAGCGTTGACCCACGCACCAAGAGGTCACCAGTTCAATTCCCAGTCAGGGCACATGCCCAGGTTGTGGGCCCAGTTCCCAGTGGGGGGCATGCAGAAGGCGGCCAGTCAATGTTCTCTCTCATCAATGTTTCTATCTCTCTCTCCCTCTCCCATCCTCGCTCTCTAGAATCAATAAAAAAAATTTTAAAAAAAAACACGAATTGGGGTGGGAGTCAGGGGAGGCAGAGGATAGAGAGTTGTGGTTTGAGTCTTTCTCCCAAAAAGAAATGTTCAAATATCAACCTCCAGTACCCATGAATGTGACCTTATTTATAAATAAAGTCTTTGCAGATGTAATCAAGTTAAGATGAAGTCATACTGGATTAGGGTGAGTTCTTATCCAATGACCAGTATCTTTATAAGAGATATTTTGGGTCACAGGCACAAAGAGAATGCCATGTGATGGCAGCAGTAGACATTGGAGTGATGTTACAAGACAAGGAACACAAAGGTTTGCTCAGAGCTGGGAGAGAGGAATGTCCCTCTGTGCCTCCAGAAAGGGCCAGTCCTGCTGCCACCTTGATTTCAGACTTCTAACCTCAATATCTATGAGACAATAAATTTTTGTTGTTTTAAGCCACCCGATTTGTGGCACTTTGCCATAGCAGCCATAGGAAATGAATACCATTTCTTTTGGTATAGAGAAAATTGTAGTTATACCTCTAAGATATTGAGATGGAGAATCTGACACCAACCTTTCTAATTATCAAATACTTACAGACCTAATCTAAGTCTTTATTAGGATCCAGTTTGCATATTTACTTTGGGACACCCAGGCCATATAGGAAGTGTCCTTGTACCCTATGGATTGAGTATCTGAAGAGGAATTTGGAAGCTGTTGTCAAGATCTCTTCATATCAAAATGATGGGAGGGTGAGAGCATCCATGGCTGATTAGGCACACTCTTTAAGGCAAAGGAAACTCATCAGATGAGTGTCCTTCTCTGAAATAAATGAGTTAACTAACGGGCACCAAGGATCAGAACACTCAATTGTGTTTACAGCGTACACTTTAAGCAGCAAACCTGTCTATGTCATATTTTCTTCCAATAGACTGCCACTCCTACTGGCAGCCTCAGATACTAGTGTTTCTATCACATTTTACCAACCTTGACCACATTGGATGAAGCTGAGGTTCAGACCTCTGGCCTATGGACTGAGACAAATTCTCTCTTTCTCGGGATTTTGAACTAAGACATATAAACTGAGAAGCAGCTGGAAATGGTCTCTGGATCTAGGTGTCCTCATAAACTGGGAAGCTGGGCCAGCCATTCTCAGGCAATGACCAAGACTGCATCTGTAGCAAAGAACAGACAAGACACCTGTGAAAGTAGATGGGGTAGGAGAGGGAAGTTTCTTGGTTTTGCTTGTACTCCTGCTCTAAGATCTGATTTTCCTTGATATTCATTTGTTCATCTTGCCTTTGTTTCTATGGAATACCCCGATATCTTTATAATAAAACACCCTCACACTATTTTGAATGGAATTTCTATTTCTTCTAATTAGATATCTTGTTTCCTTGATATGTAGATATGCTTCCATAATACAACTTGAGTGTCTGTATGATTTAGGTTTTAAGAAATGAACTCTCAAAGGAAGCACCACTATAAATAACCTTGTACTAGGGAAGGTTGCGAGAACCACCCTGAGCTGGCCAAGAGCAGAGGGACCACATGACCAATTTAGGAGGCTGTAAGGAGAGCCGCTGCCAAAGGAAATAGGCTCCACTTAGATGCTAAGCCCGTGAGGATAAAAGCCAATGAGAGAGGCCATGAGCAATACTGATCCATTACAGCCTACAGCTTATCACTAGGTACATCATATTATTTGCAACTTTTCCACTTCAGGGTAAGGGACTCTTGGGAGAGAATGGGGGCATGACCCTTACCAATTCAAGAGTAGAGGTTGAGGCATTATTGTTCTGTGGTTATTTTTCTGCTGTGGAGAGAGAAATAATATTGATGCAGTTTAAGGGTGATAAAATACTGAGTAGGAACTCAAGCCACTAAATAAGATTAAGTTCCTATATGGAAGGGGCTATAGACTGAACTCAACTTATGAGATCCTTCCTTTCTCCTTAAATGCAAGTTAAGAACTAATACATTCATTCACACATGTTGTGATTGCTCCATGACAGGCATGCAAGGCGATTCTGCTATTGAAAGGCATCAAGGTCAATAGGTTGACTAGGGTATCATCAAGACAATAAACCAGGTATTAAGATTAAGGGAATGGTCTAGTATTAGAACTTGAAAGATGGGTTGGGCCACAGAATAGAAACCCAGGACTCAGAAATTCCTAATTCAACTCTCTACTGAAGTGAGGACAACTTGAAATAACGTGTGCTTTATCAGGATTTTCACTTGTTAGCAAGAATCGATTCATTCCCTTGCTTCATGTCCTGCAATTTGATAGAGCATACAGTTTCCTTTGAAAACTGAACCCGGGGCTGGGATCAGTTCAAGGGGCGTGAAACCTGCCCACCGTGTCACTCTCGCAGCAGGAAGCAATGTTTACTTTCTGGGTTTCCCTTTTTTCTCCTAGAAAAAGAAAAAGAAACCCTGAACTAAAGTCCTTTTCAGTTATTTATTTATGTAAGAGATTTGCTGAACACAATATGAAGTCTGTTTTTCAAGGAGTATCTCTTCCAGAGATGCTAGGAAATAAATAAGCATGAACGGTTTTCCACAATGCCAGTGATGGACTGAATCTAAAAATCAAATGGTTCTATGAATCTTTACTTTTGAGCCTTTGCAGTCTAAGGGGAGAAAATAATGTATCCATCAGCCACACGCAATTAACAGTATTATTTGACATTTTCCAGCTGTGGCTCAATCCTGTGACAAGGGCATTCATTTTTGAGATAAGGGGATAAGAAAAATGTAAGGAAATGGTGATTTGTCTCCACACACTGTGTTCTTTGATTCTCCAAATCAAAACCATCATCCAAATAACCAAACCAATTCATTTTAAGAATAGAAAGAGGCTTCAGAAATAACCTTCAAGCTTCATTAAGTAGTTGCTTGATATAATGAAATTACAGAAAACTTTGATTTTTTTTGAGGAAAAATGATGAATTACAGATAGTAAAGACAGAATATCCAGCCCTTTATATTTTTTCCTAATGCATCAAATTAATGTACATTTCAAATTAAATTAAGTCTGTGAGTCCCATTTTTAAACTATTGTTCTGAAAACATAAATCCGACTGAAATAGAATAAGAATAGGTTGGAAAAATCTCAATTGCAATGGTGAAAAAAAAATCAATGGAATACAAATGAAACTCAAAAATCCATAACTCTTAATGCAGGATAACATTTGAAGTTCACCTAATCGCTAAGTAGCTTTTAGAGTCACTGGACCTAAATATATCAGAATGACACTATCTGATATTAAGTTAAAATGCATAACTAAAATCATATTTCAAAAAGACCAAAAAAAAGAAAGGATTGATGTTTACCCCTTATAGTACAAAGCTCATAATACTCACATAGGTATGTAAAATCAGAGCATACCTGAGGAAGTAACTGTCCTTTGTAGTTTAGTTTGGATTTCGGTGATGCTGACATGCATACATATCAGTCACAAACAAATGTTATGCTCCTTCCAATGCTCATTCCAGGTTCTGCATCTATTTTAAGAAGATAATTGTTTTAAATGCAGTCTCATTTTTGTTAAATTAAACCAAGTGAAAAGGAATGGCAAGTCTCTAAACATATCCATCTTCTTTATTCTCTGTGAGGTCTACAGAATAAAGTTAATTCTATTTCCACAGTGAGTAAACATCAAATGAGATTTTTCTGCTTATTCTCTTCTAATAGGGAATTATAATCTTTCCTGCAGGCCTCTCCCATGAAAGAATACAAGTGCCTCTGTTAGGTCATTTCTGCAGTCAGAGTAAAGAGACAGGCTAGGAAGGCTGAGATCTCAGGAGGCCTGCTGCAATGGTATTTCCACCTGGACACAGCAGCCATCTGCCTGCTCCCTTCAATGCCTTCCCTCAAGGCTTAGTGACAGCAACCTTGGGAACAAGGTTTTCTTAATTTACTTCAGGCATCTGCAGAATAAATCATTGTGCCAGCAACTCATGCCCAGGATCATTATTTTGACTGAAGCTGTCTATATTTTACTTACCATGGGCAGACTTGATGCTTACGTTTAGGCAGCTCCAACTCATACAATAGATTTAGAACCCACCTTCAAAAATAGTTCTTGTTGGCATACACTTAAAGATTTAGAAAATTATTATCATTGTCAAATCCCAATCATCCGAAGAAAGAACTGTGAGTCTTAACAGTAATAAAATCTCTTTGGAGTCCCTAATTCAGGTTCATTTGCCTGGGATTTTCTGGGAGCCCCGTCTAGTCTGATGTGGCATAGGTGCATGACGCAGGATCTAAACTACTTAGAAACTGAGTGGAGACATACACAGTCACAGTCTCACAAACCCAGCATTGGCCTGGGTTCCTATTTAGGAAAAGGGAAAACAAACTTGAAGTCTCTTTACACCATTTGTGTATTACTCCCACTCGTAAATTGCTAATAACTGAGGAAAGAATAGGCATGCATATCTACAAACAAAACAGTGATCAGTTCAAACTTCATCTCTGAGTGTTTTCCACTTCTTTGTTCTTTATTTCCACAAATAATTTACTTATCTATTTTTAATTTTATTATATTTATTGGGGTGACATTGGTTAATAAAACTATATAGATTTCAAGTGTACAATTCTTTAGTACACTATTTGTATACTGCAATCTCTCCAAATTACTTATTTAAATGTGCATTCAGCAAGCACCTGGTTATAGGGAGACACCACTGTAGGCAGTATGGATACAGCAGCAAAAACACAGACAAGTCCCCATCATCAAGCTTACAGTCTGCAGGAGGGACAGAGACAACCAAGAATTAAAATCATAAGCAGTGTCATTTCAGAAAGCGATCAATGCTGTGAAGAAAATAAAACACAGGGATGTGCTGGAGAGTTAAAGGGTAAGAGCAGATCAGCCTGGGTGTAAGAAAGAGCTGTGGAAGAAAACGACATTGAACTGAGATTGAATAACAGGATGTAGGTGCTCCTGGATTCAGTGTTCTAGGCAGAGAGAACAGGAAGTGCCAGCCTAAGGTGGAATAAATTTGGCACATTCAAGGAACAGAAAGAAGCTTAGATCTGGTGAGAGAGGAGAAGAATGGTTAGGGATGACAGCAGAAAAATATGCAGGCACAGTGTAAATTGGATTTTGTAAACCATTGCAAGGTGTTGGATTTTATTCTAAGTACGATGGGAAGCCACTGGAGGTATTTAATGAAGGGAATTACATGATCTGATTTGCATTATTTAATTTCCTTCTAGCTTCTGGGACCAGGGTGGTGGTTCACACCAAGCTGTCGGATCCAGAGGGTTGAGAGCCCAGGGGAACTGGAGCTTCCCTGGACTGAGGTGACTTAAGGCTATCTCACTCTGAATGGACCATAAGAGGACACTTCAGTCAACACTTATACATCACAGGCAAGGCTTAGCTACAAACTGTTCTTTGGCCATGAGCAGAGGTCCCTCTTCCTGCCACTTAAAGCCACGTCATTTCTTGAAATAAAGTGCCAATAATGCAAGTAAATCCATCAATTGGACAGGCTATAGCTGAACTACAAGTGAAGTTACACTGTAACAGATATCTATAAAATGCTGACAATTTCAGTGTGCAAAGAACAGAAAGGTAATACATCCTGGTTTGTAGCATTCAGTGATTGCACCAAGAAGTAGCAAATCTATTTGTACCGAATGTAAATGTGAAAGATAATGGATTGTTGCCTAGCAAAGGGGAAAAATGCTTTGTTGTACAATACTTCTGATTGCTGTTTGCTAGAACACGAAGTGATTAATAATGGCTAATGCACATTGTTTAAAAGGCACATTTTTCTCTGATGATTAGTGATGAACATTTGGTGCGTAAAGAGTGGGGAATGGGGGACATCTTTAATAGTATAAACAATAAATAAAGATAAAAGAAAATTCTAAAAAGGCACATTTTTTATGGGCTCTAGTCCAGTAAATGATTTTTAATGGTCATGAATTCTCAATAAGCTGAAGCAGGAAAGTAAAAACTAATTTCCAAGGTGAAATAAGCCTGTAGAGGCCAACCTCAGAAGAGAAAAGGAAGATAGTAATGACTGTGTCAGGCACTTCTAGTGATATCATTTCACCCATTTCTACTGCTGAAGGGTACTATCCCTTTATTGGAGATGAAGAAACTGAGGCTCAGAGATATTACAGCACTTGACCGTTACCACAAAATGAGTTAACAACAGAACTATCTCTGTATTCAGAGCTATACCTGAGCATAGAGCCTGATTTTTTTCCCATTGCACCACGCAAGGTCAAAGTCAACAAGAGAGTAATTGGATGTTACATTCAGGGGTGAAGCAAGTGAATCTCTGGAGAACTTGAGTATAAAAAGAACTCATGTGTCCTTCCAAGAGACCGTCCATTCCCACCACTGCTGACTTTAGCTGCTACCAAGGTCTCAGGACAGAATTACTATGAAGAATGCAATTGTACATGACCTCTGAGTCCCCTCTTTGGATCTTTATCTCATCCAGCAAGGCCTTCCTGTTGCCTTTGTCTTCTTGGCCTACATAAATACGAGCATCTTCTCTCAAATTCTCCATTTGTGTTAAAATAGAAGTAATGCATATCAAGCAGATATTCATTTTATGAGAATAGGAGATTTAAATTATTAAATGTATCTGCATATTTTTCAGAAACGAGTCAGTAGACAGGAATAACTTGGAGAGAAGCAGGGCCTACCTCCGGTCCTGGAATCGACCTGCACAGATGGTACCTCTAGCACACCTAGGGTAAACTCTGGTCCTATAACTGCCCCATCAAAATTTACCTGACATGGCTCCTACTCCTCTTCCCTCTAGTCAGCCCTTCCAAATATGCTGTGTCCTTTTCCATTTCTGTAATTTAGCGACTGCCATAAATCCCTTCTGAAATTCTTTCCTTCCTGCTCTTTGTTCACAGCTTAGTCTTACAGCTCTCATTCGAGGCCAGCAGTTTTAAATATAACAAGTTTTATTAGCATCAAACACTTCCAGCATTAAAACCTTTAAATCATAAAAAGAGGAAATTGTTTAAATCAATGCGATCTTATCTCCCAAGCAACCATTTTTAATATGCTTGGCCTGTTTTTAGTGCTTTTCTGATCATCCCAGGTCTCTGTCCTCAATACTCTTTCTCCCTTTCCCTCTCCTTCTCTCTCCTTTGAACATCTTCAGTTTACTGACTATAACAGTAAGGTCATTACTTATTCAATAGACCTTTAAGAAATATTTATTAAGCCCACCTACTTTGTACCAGACATCATACTAGATTCCAGGGTGGCCAATGGGACAGATACGGCTTCTGCCTGCATGATATTCATAGTTTAGTGCCTATAATTATGACTTATTACTTGATACATCTAACTTACTAACTTAACACTCCATTCATTTTATAAATGAATAGTGTCCCCCAAGATTCAGTGAATATTTCGGTGAACTGAAACTCCTTGAGGTCAGAGAACACATAATGTCATTGTGATCACATAGCCAGTACTTATCACAGTGCTCAAAGGATGCAAAACAAATCATTAAACTGGTCTTTTCTTTATATCAAAAATAGCTTCAATTATGTGGGAAAGAAGCCCTATTAATGAGCACGTTGTTGATTTATGAACCTTCTATTATAGTCTGTTCCATTCTATACTAGACCATTTTAGCTAAAAATACGGGGTGGGGCAAAAGCGGGGGTACAGTTGTTCACATAAAAAATAATACAATAATTAATAAATAATAATACAAGAATAACCTCTGTGTTTCACATACTCACAACTGTAAATCTACTTTACTTTTACCCCACCCTGTAAATAACAGTAAATTTTTCATTTGAGTACTACAGTTTATAGTCTGACCAGGCAGAAATGAAGTCCACTTTATATTAACATGGTTTCTAAGCAAGATATAAAAAAAACTATTATTTGATCAAATACAATAAACAGATGGGAAATTATAGTGAAATAAGTAGCATGTGTTTAGAGTATACAATAATCACTGTGGCTTGTACAGGATCTGACACATAGTAGATGTTCAAAATACACTGTTTATTTTCATTGGTTTATTAAGCAGTTCTATGAAATGTAGGTGTAAGGTAAAATAAGAAACAATAGTCTCTCAAGTGGGTTAGAACTACAATTGGCAAGAGAATGAAATCTTGAAATTATTATTATTTCTCTTTATAGTGCCTCTCTTTGTTAAACATGCTATAGCTAGAATTTGTTATTAATGCATGGATTCCCCTGATTGTTCAGAAATATGTAGACATTTTGTTTCCTGTATTTCAAGTTCTATATCCAAAATATTCATCAATGTTTCCAGTAAAACACAGTGATATTTAGGCCAGTGTTATATAGAATAAAATGCACCACTATCCCCGCTCCCCAAATTTGTTTGTTCATTTATTTTTTGATACTGTGGTAAATTCATGAGTCATCAATTAATAAATCAATGCTCTCAACCAGATCAAACCAATGATCAGGCAAATCATCTAAAAACAAAGGATGTAGTCTACACTACAAAGAAAGTATAGACTCAATAGATACTATAGATCTAGTTCAAAAATACCTACAAGATAGAAACTATTTTCAAATGCCTTCTTTTGAAAAATAGCACTGTTCAATAAAGAATTTCCTGTCCTTGGTGGCCCTCCCAACAATGAGGATCGCTTCTGACCTCTCTCTGCTGCAATTTCCGCAATTCCTCTTTCATTTCTAACCCATTCTTTATGAGTGGCCACACTTCAATTATAAGCATCAAATTTCATGGTGCTCTTAATCATGGTTTATCTGGCTGTCTGATGTGTTTGTCCAACCCCTGAAAATCATCAAATGTTATGGTATCACATGGTAAACGATGGCTAAGTTGTTAAATGTTTAAATGGCAAAACAAACTACCTTATCACCTGAACAAGTCAATAATCTATCTGTTTGACCAAAGGAAAAATCAGTCATACCAATTTGTGGCTCTATGATAAAAAAATTAATTAAACTAAATCCTGTCCTTTGCAGCTGGTTCTGATGATTAGGAAGCTGTTGTAAAGGATCCCATTATCAGACTCCAGGAGAACTAACTCTTTTCAAATACTACCTGTAAGGTTAGAAGCTGATGCCGACAATTAATAGACTAGCCCTTCTGATTTTCATTTGAAAATTAATTCTCAGTTTGGCTATAGCACACATTACCTGGTAATGCATATGGCAGATGCTCAACCGAGTATTAATTGAAGACCAAAATGAGCTAGGATGAAAATGAAATAGCGACTACTATGACCATTTTCCTCCATCCCGCAGAATGTTAAGGCCCTAGTGTGCTTTGCAGAAGCCTATTAGATTACTTCCTTTCTGGACAATCACAGTCATATCCCAGGAAAAATTTTTCTTTGTGTCTGTTATTCTTAAGCCTTCTACAATATCACATTTAAACAAGACTATTAGGTCATACACACCATGTATGAGTCACAAGACACTACAACGTCTCAGATTATAACTTTAAAAGATAAAACAGTGTTCTGTGATATCATAAAATAAGAAATTCTACAGTCACATAGTTTGATTAACAGAATGTAATATATAGACATCTATATGTATATACACATTTTATACTTGAATTTAATACTAAACATATATTGAACATGGTCAGTTTTCTTTGATTATTTACAAAAACATCAAAATCTTCCAAAATCTTAAGATTATCTTTTTGAAGATTATCATTTTTTAATTGTGAGAGATCAACAGGTGTACAGAAATGCCAGGTAATAGATATTGTAT